ATTAGCGATATGGTTTTGCTGGTATTGAATTTTGTGGTATTTGTAGAGCTTGTATTTAATTTGTATTTAATTTTTTATTTTTTTTTTACTGTAAAGCACTTTGTGACTCCTCCTTGTCTGTGAAAGATGCTTTATAAATACATTTTACTACTTACTAATTTTACCCCAAAATCAGGAGGAAAAATATAAGAAAATATATTTTACATAAAGAGTCCTATTTTGGGACTAACACAGTTATTTGAACCATTATATTTTCATGACAGTTAAGCCCTAGATGTGCTCAATTGCTAGATTTAATGGCTGATTTATTGTTTATGACACTGGTAATTCAGGGTTGTTATAGTTAACCAAATCAAAACTAAAAAACATAAAAACATGTTTGTTACTGAAACATTTACGTTAGCTAAAATAAAATGTATAAAAACTTTTTTTCAGATAGTTTCCAAAGCAGCTTATAACTAGAACTTAAACTAAAAATTATTAATTATAATTTTTATTAATTAATCAAATAAAAATTATATTATTATTAATTAATAAAATAAAAAAATAGTAAAAATGTATTTAAAAAATCTATATAAACATAAAAAAACATCAAAATTACTAAGATTTTAACTAAAATGAAATAAAAATAAAATATCTCAATAATACTTAAAAAAAATGGTAATACAATATAATAAAATGTAAACATAATACAATATTTATGTAAGCATAAATTAAGCAGCATAAAATTTCTTTGTATTACAGTTGACTTAAGTGTTTTGAAAATAAAATAATTTATATAAATTTAAACTGTATCTACATTTATATATAAATAAAAGAATTTATATATTTTATATTATTTTAATGGCTATATATATATATATATATATATATATATGAAAGAATGAATAACAGTGCTTTTAAAATCTGCCAATACAAAAATAATTTCTAATGTCAGCAAACCTTCATGATATAAGCTGTTATTAGAGATAGCTTGAAACTAAAGACTGTGATTCAGGGGTTTATGGGGTTGATGATGGCTGTCCTGTCCTGTCCTCGTGTCTTTCAGATTCACGCAAACTGTCGCATCAGGAGGGTGTATTTCTCTGACCGGCTGTACTCTGAGGACGAGCTCCCCGCTGAATTTAAACTCTATTTACCAGTACAAAACAAAGCAAAGGTGAGCTTCATCATGCCTGCTCATGTGCGGAATCATATCTTTACACCGTTGTGTATTAATCTCGTGTATTTTCTCCACAGCAGTGACACAGCAGATGGGATTCCTCTCTTTCTTTTATCTACACACGTTCATATAGGATGGATTTCTAGTGGCACTGTCTTTTTGTTGTTTTTCGGATCTATGTGATTGGTTTCCATCTGCTGAATAAATATTTTATATGCACAAAGTGAACCCCGATCTTTTTCTGATTATTTTACATTTATGCGTCAAAGCGACATACAAAAGGGGAACAAAGCAATTTTCTCTAGATATCGTCACATCATATTTCATACACAACTAGATATGCTGATGTTTGAAAAGATTTATTAAACTGGAACATGAGCTGCCAAAACCGTACAGGGAAAATGTAACGTGTCTTCAGTTACAAACTTTGGCTTTCACAGGAAAAATCTGCTGGTTATTAAATCTATCTGTCAAATGTTTTGTAGAAAGGTACTTCAAATGTAATTCAAAAACTCTTCAAACAAATCTATCACACCTGATTGCAGCAGTTACAATGGAATAAAGTAAATTTACATCTTAGTATTATCATAAGCATGGTAAATTATGAGATCCAAAAAAAACAAACACGCACAAATAATGGGACCAAGCACCGCGGCAGTCGAAATGTTTTAACCAGATGCCAACAGAATAATTATTTCTGTATAATCTCTTCACAGTATATGAGAATATATATATATATTTGACCAATCAGGATGCACCAAAGGTCTGGTACCAAGTTTTAAGTCAAATATTTGGCAAAATACAGCCTCACTTCTTATTTGGTGTCCATTATTTGCGGTTGGTTTGGTATATAAAAATCTCAGTATTCTCAGGAATATTCCCCTGAAAAAACAAAGTGATGAAGTTCAGAATAAAGGTCTGTTCACACACCAACAACTATAACTACATCAGTGCACTCTAAAAAATGATGGGTTGTTTCAACCCAACTTTGGGTCAAATATGGACTAACCCAACTTTTGGGTTAA